TATTTTTTGTTTGATTCTGTTTTCTAGTTTATCTATTGTTTTTTGGGTGTATCCGTTTTCGTTCGCTATTTGGTATATGACTTTCCGTTCTTTGTTTCGGGCTTCATTGCTGAGTGGTATCCTTAACATTCTATATATGAATGCGTTATAGGCAGCCATTTTGTGTGATGGTGGATGGTTTGAACTTGCGGGTATGGTGGAGCTTGTCTATTTTTTTATATTTTTAGATACTATAGAGGTGACTTACTATTATATTTCCCATACTTACAACTGACCGTTTCGGAGAAACGGAGAAATTTAAAAATACAGACCATAATTTTAAAATTGTTTTCACCATGCCTCAAAATTTGGACACACATTTAATCAAATAACTTCTTAAAGTTGAATGGAACACCCCGTATTTAGTGGCGTAATTTGACGCAGAAGTAATTTCCTCCAAAATTATATTAGGGTTCCCTATACCTATCTCTTTTGCTTTTTATACAAAAGGCGTTTTTATATTGTACTTATGAGTAATTTTTTCATCTTAAAAATGGAACTTATCCCCAGGAAGAACGAATTGATATGATTTTGATAATCGGTGAGTGTGAAGAAACCTGTTTATAGAGTCAAGAGTATATGCCCAAAGGTATCCTAACAGGAGTCATCCTAACAAGCGTTCATTGGAAAAGTTGTTGCAGCTTTTCCAAAGAACAGGCAGTGTATCTTGTAATATGCAAAAACGGCAAAAACCGGTTACTGGAAATGAGGAAAATTAATATTTAGTGATGTTATCTCTAATTGAACACCCTCATACAAGTCAACGAAAAATATGTGAAACAACTGGAATGAACAGAGTATCCAAAGAATAATTAAAAATTACAAATTCCACCCGTATCGCATTCAACTACATCAACAAGATTATGAACCATTATTTCTTCCATTGACGCTCCAAATAGCAAAATTGCCCAAATGTAACTAAAATTTTCACTGATGCATATAATCATGAAAATGAATTCTATATTAAGGATTCTTTCGATTTTTCCAATTTTATAAATGAAAAATCATAACCTCCAGGTTATATTCTGATCAGCCTAGATGTGATTTCACTTTCCAGCAATATACCTATGAATCTAGTGGAGAAAAGTATTATCAAAAGATGGAATGATATAAATAAAAAATGTTTAATAACCCAAAAAAAAATTATTGAAATAATTGATTTCATTTTCAACTCAAGTTATTTCTCTTTTGAAGGTAAATACTATAAACAAATTCTTGGTACATATATTCCAATCATTTCGACAATGTATACTGTCATCCTCAGGGAAAACTACAATAAAAGAACATAAGGCTAATTGATATTGTACAGTTGAAAATTATGTACTTACATTGTCATTGAGGTTGGACTCAGTGATGTTCAAAATAATTTTTGTTATTATTTGATTTTAATGTTGAACTTAGATTTGATAAATGGGAAAACATTGAAATTAGTTTGGATAGTGATTCAAGATGATCATAGTTACACATCAAACAATTAAACATATAAACGTCAATTTTGGTAAAATTATTGACGTTGCAACTTGCATATTTCATCAAAAAAGTAACTGCTGATTTTACAAATATAGACTCTCTGAAAGCATTGTATTGTGCTTGAGTAAGATCACACCTAGAATTTTGTTAACTTATATGTAATCCATTCTACAACGTTCACTCTCTAAATATTGAGCGGGTTCAGCACGAATAGAGTTACTTCTTTTGAAATCGATTGCTTCCTTCCTTCCTTTGCAAGATTCCCACATTTTTAGTATCAGTAGTACTAGAAAGTCAAAAACTTTCTTTCCCAAAAATTATTCAGTCCTAAAAATATAACCCTTTCTATTTAAACAAGATTCCTTTGGCTGGGATTTAATCGAATAAACTAATTAATGTCATCAATGTCATGAGTAGATCAAACTCATTCCGTGACATAAAGTCGTAATTTATGAATGAATTGTGTGTTTTTTCTTATAATGTTATCTAGTTTGGTACTGAAGAGCGCTAAGGTAAGTGTCTTACGGCGAAACTACGATGTCTATTAGCGCGGATGACAGTGTTCCATGTGAGTGAAAATTTTTACCTTTCATTTAGTAGGTATATTGTATAGGAATCTTCTGAATGATATGTGATTCAATTCTATAACGAATGTTTGGAATACAGCTGAGTAGAGAAGTGTTTTTTGTATAATTTTGTGTTCGTATAAAAGTATTTGTTTCGAAAGAATTTTTCATTCATGTAATTCAATGTTTATATGAAAAAAGCTGATTCAGGGAGTTTTTTCTTCTAGTTTGCGTCTGAAAGTTACTTTTTTGCATGATCTACACATCTATGTATAGAGTTACTTCTTTTGGAATTGATTGCTTCCTTCCTTTCCTTGGAAGATTCCCATATTTTTTGTATCAAGATGGGGTGGTAGAAAGCCAAAAACTTTCTTTCCCAAAAATTAATCACTTCTAAAAAATGTAACCCTTTCAATTTAAACAAGATTCCTTTGGTTGGAATTTAATCAAATGAGCAAATTAATGTCATCGATGACATGACTAGATCAAACTGATTCCGTGACATAAAGTCGTAATTTATGAATGAATTGTGTGTTTTTTCTTAATATATTATCCAGATTGGTACTGAAGAGTCCTAAGGCAAGTGTCTTACGGTGAAACTACGATGTCTACCAGTGAGGATGACAGTGTTCCATGCAAGTGAAATTTTTACCTTTCATTTAGTAGGTATAT